AGTTGTGCTAGAGAAGACAGAAGTTCAGTCAGGTCAGGAAGCTATCCTGAGTACAGAACACAAAAGCCTGTTCTATATCCTCTTAACAGAGAAACTCACACCCTGCACCTGAAGTCACACACACACACACACACACACACACACACACACACACACACACCAGCCTTTCCTCACTTGGTGGACCAATACCAGGATGCTCACCTATTCTGCTCATTGGTTCCCTCAACTGTGTTCCTCTCTGTTCCTAGAAAAAGGGGCCTAGCCCCTGAATGGGCTAGGTGAATGGGCACCCTGAATGTAGGGTGAGGGTAACCATCTGACTCTTGGACCCTAACTCCATTTGGCAGAACAATCTGATTCTGGCTCTTCACACTCATAGTTTTTCCTGTGATGTGCACCTGTACAAAGGTACCTAATCTCAAGAACATTTTGGAAACTGTTTGCTAGAATTTTCTCTATGGCCAGTTGACTCCACATAGTAAGACAGATTTTGTTTCTTCAAACTCTGCCAAGCCTACAAGCAATTAGGTACACAACCCTGCTGTACTTGCTCAGACTACTCACAGCAGCAGAACTGGATCAATAAATAGAACCACAGAGTCTGGCGAAAGCAAAAATAAGTTTAAACACCAGATGATGGAGAAGTCGAGAAGCTTCAAATATGGATAAGAAGGAAACCAAGGCAGTGGGAGGAGCCTGTTAATGGAGGTGCTTTGTGGCTGCAGAGAGAGGAGGCAGGTGCCAAGGCTGTGTTTTGAAGCTATAGCATGGAGGGTATTCAATCTCTACTCTCACAGGAATGTAGGAATGTTCTTACTCTCCCTCTGAATGGTTCTGTATTCAAAACCATTCCCTACCCACTTGGTCTTGAGGTTTAGAGAACTAGCTAGCTCAGAGATATGAGACAGGTTCTGGTCCACTGGCTCTTCTTGAGATAGGACCTCATCAGACCTATCTTAGCTAACACAGGAGTCAGGTCCTACGGCTGGGTCCTTCTTGGGAGAGAATTATACTTTTGATCCAAAGTTATTAGTGACACCCCTCCTCCTCTTCTAGGGATTCTGTGACAAAGAAATGACCACTCAAGTCACCCATCTGTTTAGAGACCCTTTCGGGATGTAAGAAAAAGAGTGCAGTCCTGGTATAAGCCATAGATATGAGCAGCTGGCATGTACCATAGAGACTCTAGTGAGAATGGCAAGGCTGGTAGTCTTGGTGATCAGAGACAACCCAGGTTCCTAGATGTGGAGACCACAGAAGATAAGGAGTCAAACTTATCACTCCACATCTGGGCACTCCTGAAGTAATTCACAGTCCTCACACAACAGTGAGCCACAGGTCTCAGTCTGAGCCATACAATGGAAAACCTTGTGAGGTGGAAAACATCTTCCTTCACTAGATCAAATGCTACTATTCCCCCTGAAGCTGTCTCAAAGTGGGGCACCTTCCAGTTGTATTCCTTTCCTCTCTGTCAGATCAGGAGCCCTAGCTGCTCTATGGCTTGTTGATGCTGGTGTGACCCCAGTGACCCCAGCAGAGGCCATGTGCAACTGGCTTGGCACGTTGGCACTGCTTAGCCTTCTCTGTCAACCTCTGAGTGTCCCTATTACTTCAACCCCAGAGCTGCAGACAAGATGCCTATCTTCAACATTCTTAATTTTAGAAAATAGCCACGGGGAGAAAGGCACAACTTCCATATAATTACATTGCTTCTTGGTACTTCTGGCCTGGCTTCGTTAAGAAAGCAGTGGCCGCATCTTACATTCTTTGGAGCCCTTGGCACGAGTTAGCGTTGCTTATTTGTTTTACAAGAATTCTCTAGACATGGAAACAAAAACAATGGAATGAAAGGTTTGGCACGAAGGCAGGAAACCTAGTACTTCAGGAGGAAAAAGCACGCTGTGGCTCTGACAGCTCCAGGTGACTGGAGAGAAACAGGTGTGTCCAAAGGCACTAAGAGTAGAGAGGTGTTAGGGGACTGGCAGGAACTGAAGAAATGTCCCTTCAGGCAATAGTGAAGCACCTTGACAAGTTCTAGTCCTAGCTCCTGCGCTGGCTGAGATCGGAGCCCTGCTCAGTGCATTCATCAGATGGAGAGCGTCAGTCCATCCTCTTCCAGTCTCCAGCCTCCCCGTCCTCCCCTTCCTCCTGAAAACATCAAAAGCAATTTCCTCCCTAGCAGGTTGATGTTAGTTTTTCCTGGGGCTTTAATGAGACACCTGCCTTTGAAAGTGAGCTCCGGGAATAAGATCAAATCACTTTGGCTCATGTCCTGAGCCTTTATTGATTAGCTATTATGAGTCCTGCACTAAGCTACGAGTTGAGAGGATACATAATGAACCAGAAGATCTCCTTGCTTCAGAGAGTCAGCCTAGGGCCAGCTAGGAATGAGGTGGGTTTAAGGCTCAGGCTCCTAGATCTGAAGGCCTAAATGAAACAGGGTGCAAGCCCTGAGCAAGAGAGTGAAGATACTCAGTGCAGGGAGGCGGGAAAGACTTCCAGCCAAGTTCTCATCTCAACTCCATAGGCAGCAGTCCACACTCTGCAGTCAGAATGGCTTTCAAATTCAGATGCTATAGTTCTTTTTCAAAGAATAGTCTAAAGAGAGTTCTCTCCCTACTTCCGTGCCTTTAAAAGTAACTGTTTTATTTTGCCATTCAGCCTTATTGACATATAGTTGACAAACACAAACAGTGTGTTTAAGGCACCTGAGGTGATGCTTCCATACATGTGTGTATTTGTGTGTGTGCATTCATATGTGTGAATATGGGCGTGTGCAGAGGACAACCTCAGATGCAGATCCTCACCTTCCACCTTGCTGCAGATAGGCTGCCTTCACTGGTTTTAAAACCTCAGTGTAAGCCAGGCTAGGTGGCCCATGAGTTTCTAGGGACTCTCCTGTCTCCACCTCCCAGCTCCTGGAAGGAACACTTAGATCACATAGGTTCATGTTATGCCTTTGGTTTTGTGTGGGTTCTGATAATCTGAATTTAGGCATTCACATTTGCAAGGCAAAGGAACTCCTCAGACTTGGTTGAAAATATTCTGAGGTAATTAATTAAGCATGTACCGTGTCCTTTTGACTTTGGGTTTATTGCTGTAGCTCCTGTTTGCTTTGTTTATTGTGGAGAGAATACTTCAGCTGAGTCGGTGCACCTACACCCTCAGTACCGCATGCTAGCCCATCCATCACATTATACATCACGTCACATCAGACGATTGCAGCCACACCTTCTGATCAACACCGCCTTGTCCAACCTACTCCATCTATGTTTCCTTCTGTGCTGGGGTGCAAGGAGTGGGGGCCAGAAAAACTGAGTAAATATCATTTTTTCAGTTTTTAAAGAACTCTTTTCGTGCTCATTTTTTGTTGTTCTTTTATAATAGATAAACATTCTAAGTTTTGGACTAGAGAGATGGTTCAGCAGTTAAGAGCACTTGCTATTATTCCAGAATACCCAGAACCTACATCACTGGCTTAAACTACCTATGACTCCAGATCCAGAGGATCTGATGCCTTCTTCTTGCTTACATTGGTACATGTGTGTGTGCACACACACATACACACACACAAACACACACACTCACAAAGAGGAAAAGAACAGATACACACACACACACACACACACAAAGAGGAAAAGAACAGATACACACACACACACACACACACATATATATATATATAGAGAGAGAGAGAGAGAGAGAGAGAGAGAAAGAGAGAGAGAGAGAGAGAGAGAAAGAAAGAAAGAAAGAAAGAAAGAAAGAAAGAAAGAAAGAAAAAATAAAAGAAAAAAGAAATCCATATCTGAATTAGACTCAAACCCAAGCTTCTTGATTTCTTGATTTAGGAATCTCTACATTCATATTGAGAACAGATCACTTGGCCTTAAGAAATTCTGGCTGCACCTAAGACAGAAGTGCATTGCTTTTGATAATACATATTCCATGATGGGTATGGAAGGCATTCATGTCAGAACAACCTAAGACAGGCCCAGTCTTGTTTATGAAATAAAAAAGGGGAAGATGTGGAGAGCTTTTGGTGCTGCTTGGCAGGACTCTAACATTGGCCAAGGACAAGGAAATGGGCTTTAGGCAGGAATCTAACATTAGGCTAGAACAAAGAAGTAATTTCAGGCAGGAATCTAAATCTTAGGCTAGAACGAAGAAGTAGGCTTCAGGCATGAAAATGACTTTGGCTAGGACAGGGAAGTAGACTCAGATATTTAGGTCATCCTGATAAGCCCCTAGAAATAGTGATCACGTGAGTGATCACAGGACTTTGTTTGTTGCCTTGCTTGTTCTTTGACTATTTGTGTTTATTGTTTTGCTTGTTCCTTGACTATTTGCATCTATTGTATTGCTACTTCCTCAACCTAGAACTGACCTTAATACTTGCATGTCATTAAAATGGTATAAAAGGAAAAAGGAGGAGGAGTGATGAGATAGGAGGTTTATGGGGGGGAGGGGTTAAATGGGGACAGGGGATAACATCTAAAACATAAATAAATAAAATATCCAATAAAAAATTTTTTAAAATTTTAAAAAATTCTGGCTGCAGTGTAAGAAAACTGGGCCTCAAGCTGTAGATCTAGTCATTCAGCATCCAGCTGGGAGAATTAATACTAATGGCTATGTATCCTAGCTATGCACGGTCTTCATATTAGCCCTTCCACAATGTCAGTGTCATCATTAAACTGAAAATGAGGTGTGGGAAAGCTTCCTGTCTGGCAAGAAGGATGTCTGCTGTGTCAGGTGTTTTCATTGTCTCAAAAGATACTACAATCCTGCTCAAGAGATAGCTTGTGTATAAGTAACTGTCATGCCAAAGCCAAACTTCTACTCCAACCACCTGTCTGACTGACAGAAGAATTCTTCCCATATGTGTGGGAATCTGACTATCCACTTAGGCTCCCACCACATTTAATCCCAAGGGTGGCTTGCTGCATCTGGAAGTGAGAGCAACAAGCCCCATGAGTATGGACTTGAGCCAAGAGACCAACCAGGGTACAGAAGATACACTGGCACTGCGCGATGGTTGTCATCTGCTCCGCTGGGTATTCCCCGAGGCACAGCTTGCAGGACACCAGTGGGTCGAGGGCCAGGTCCCAGGTGGGCCGGTACCTTGCTGTGGTCATCGCAGAACAGTCTGAAATGAGAGACATACACACTCAGGTCTCCCTCCTGTGGCTTCCATAGAATCACAGCAAGAATTCCATCTGCCTGCTACAGTGCGATGGGGTTGGGGAGGGGACAGCAAGTGACTGTGGATGGAGACAAGGTCCTCTGAGGAGGTTTATCCCGGAGTCCTTGCCTCATGTCTGAGGGTGGCGATTTTACATTATGGTGTTAATCCTGAAAATTGAAACAGACCATATATACCCATCCTTCAACCCTCTGAGTTGCATCTGATAGGAGTGTGTTGGTCAAGTTTGGCAAGCACAGAAAGTTGGCTAAGATACTTACTTCTTGTGTTTGACTCTTCTCCAGTTTGTAACGGAGAAACATCTGAGGGAAAGGCCCCAATGAAGCCCACCTCTAAGGCTTTTCTCATCCTCACAAGATACACAGCTTCTCCAGTGGACTACCAGTAATAACTTCACCCCTGTATGCTTCTTAAGCAACCCCATTTTTTAGAATGTTTAGTTCTGCATCTTTGACAGTTAGGTTCACTTAAGGTAATCAAATGTGTACAACAGTCCTTCAGTGATGCTCACTCCCAACCTCGAGGACTTTCTCTGCCACATCCCAAGAGGCCTATGGCTAATTCCCCCACTCATCTGTGTTTTCCTGTTGCACACTAGTTATGCCATATTACTCATGATGGCTGTCTGACTATCCATGGTAAGTGACACATCCAAGAGGACTATGGAGAGGGAAGAGGTAGAGCTCCAAGCTCCCAGTTCAACACTTGTCTAAGGAGCCTCCCAGAGATGGCCTTGTGTTTGTATAAGTGAATCCTTGAAGATCTTAATTCTCACTTAGGATCCCGTCACTTGATTTTATGCATCATGTACTTACCTGGTACCTGAAATACTTCAATGTGTGCTTTGTGATTCTAGTAGCCTGCTTTTCAAAGCTATTGTTACCAAACTCTGAACTAAATAGCACTTGGTTAAAATTCCAGATAAACTCTCTAGCTGTCTGAACACTCACCTCTCCTCATCTTAAAATGAACTCTGGCACACAGGTGTGGTACGCATTGTTCTTCATCTAAATCTCATTCTGAATGAAGCAGTCAGACAAGAGTACCTGGATCCTCTAAGTGAGAGCAGACAGTAAAGGTCTGTATCCTCTAACCTCTTCCTTACAGCACAGGGTTGTACTCATAATGACACAGACACATGCAGGAGGTAAATGAAGAGAAATCTGACACCACTCTCAGCAGCCACTAGCTCCAGAATCCAGAAAGACTCAAAGATGTCTGAGGAAGTGGTCTCAGTAACACCCTCGAAGCCACAGTCAGAGGCGTATCTCCAGAGTGACCCCAAGTCCTGGCGAGTTACAAAAATGACCATTCACAAGATCCCATCAGGAGGAAGAGAACACTTAGGATTTCTCATCAGAAACATGCTACAGAGCAACCTCGAAGGGGTGGAACCCTGTATGTTTTGTGTTAGGACAAAAGTAATATTTCCAAACCATCGCCCATAACTAATACCATGGAGCTCCTCTACCCCTGTGGGCTTCAGTCTGTACATGTGTGCAAAGGGGTTGACAAGCCCAGTTCATGGAAGGATGGGATGAGGAGCGATCATACAGATGGCCTCCTCCTTCCCCTGTGATATCTCATGCCAACATGGCTTTATCACTCTAAGTCTGTAGTTCTCAACCTTCCTAACGGTGCAACCCTTTATTATGTTGTAATCACCAACCACAAAATTATTTCATTGTTACTTCACAACTGTAATTTTGTTACTGCTATGAATCATAATGTAAATATACGATAGACAGTACATCTGATATGTGACCCTCCCTCAAAGGGGTCATCACATAGGTTGAGAGCAGCTGATCTAAGAGAAGAATACCACGATGACACCATATTCTGCAGTTAGCATTAGATCAACAGTATAAACATTTTCCACCTTTCCTTACATTCTGTCAGCCAAGGCCCACTGGTGCTTGTGTGCAAGTATTCAGTGAAGACAAACTGCCAATTGAATTCCATACCAGATGCCTTTGAGAAAGGAGGCATCTGGGACTCAAAAGAAGCTAACACAAACTGCACACATATAAGACAGGTAAGACCCAGTGACCAGTGGTGTGAGAACATGAAAAAGGAGTAGAGATCTAAACACATGGAAAGACCTGACCCCAGGAGCAGAGCTCAAGGAGACAAGGGTGTGGCCTTAGAACTCTAGAATCCTTCAGGAATAAGGGTTACCAACCTGCATTCAGGACAGGGAGTGGGTGGCAGCAAGGGAGGACCAGCAGCTTCCTAGGACAGTTAACGGCTGCAATTAACTTACTCTGCACTAAGTATATTTTTTTTATTGTTATAAAGGACTCGTTGACATGGATCACATGACTTTTAGATAGATGAAGTAGAGCCTTTCAAATAATTTAAACATGTGCCCTAATGTAGTCAAGGCTGACAGACTCCTTAGCACAAGAGGGTCTCAGGGTTTCTCAGTCTTCTGCAGTGCAAGGGGACATTAGCTTTATGAACCACTTCTATCCTGTATAGTCACTGCACATGTAGAATTGCAGCAAGAAGAGAGATAATGCCAGCTTGGTGAGCAAGAGCCATTAACATGTGTCAGGTGAAAGAGCTTGCTAGGTTGTGTTTATATAGGGCATATCCATGTAACTCTAAATTTATTATTATTTAAATGTTAATAAACCTCAACATGGGTTTTTTGAGGTCCTAAGATCAAGACCATGGTTTGCTGTTTGCTTGTATGGTTTATAGTTCTTTTCTTGTTTAGATCTCTAATTTTTTCAAGTATATACTTTATACTCAACAAAGTGACTATATTTAAGAAGGTCACTAGTCCTAAAAGGTTCACAAGCCTTAAAATCACTCAGTCAACCCAAGGGATGATAAGGCTTCATACTCAAGATTGGAAACGACCCTGGGGGGTAGCCTCTGCTAAGTGATTTCTTGATCCTGGAGAGTAAAATATGAGGAACAGTTGTTGCTGACAGTGTCATACAAACACAGGGTCCATACTTTGCTGGGCACTGTGCCAGGAATAGGAGGAAGGGATCAAATGGTCCTGGTTTCCATAATCTGCCACGTAGTTAGACCATGTTGGAAGGCCAAGGGAAACTCCTACTGTTTCTCTCTGTAAAACCCATGCACAGTCATATGTTGAATTGCAGAGCTGGAAGACAGATGATGGCATCTTGGTAAGCAAGAGTCATTAACACCTGTCAGGTGAAAGAACTTGCTAAATACCCCCATTAAGGCTGCAAGGGGAAGAAAAGCCATCATCAGAGCAGAGACAGGCCCACGGTAACTTCCAGGACATTCAGTACAACAGCTGGGACTTTTGCAAGAAGCAAACACCAAAACCGTGCTTGGTGATGCGCTGTGCAGTATGGCCGAAGATGGGACAGTAGCCTACAGTGGGTTGCACAGTGCAGACAAGTAGGGCTTCACCGAACCCACAGGCCTGAATCCTCAATCAAATCCTCCATAGGCTCTGGCCTGGACAAGAGTAATTTCCTGCTTCCACCACAGCCTCTGTCTCAGGCCACTGCTCTGTCCCATCCTACTCGTTCCCAAGACTTGTCTCCCCCCAGCTTCAGCACCCACTCCCCTTCCTGTTTACAGTCTCCCTTGGAGCAGCTGGGAGGATTTGACGTGTATGGCTTCCTTTCTCCCCTTCCATGCTTTCCGCTTGACCCTCTAGACAATGAGCCTTTCCATTGCACTGGGCAAGGGACATGCCAGCTCCTGTCCTTACCTCTGTCCCTGCTCTGCACCTGTCCTGCCACCACAAGCAACTTCAAAAGCAGGACAGATTCCCATTTCACGCGCCATTTCTGTATTCCGTTTCTTATGAAGTACATAGTCTTTGAACTCTGCACAAAACCATGCTTCCAATAGTGACATCAACAACCGGACATGTAAGAAAAATGTTTATATTGTGTGAGAGTCTATGAGGGCCTTTACACACACACACACACACACACACACATACACACACACACACACACACACAAACAGAGGATGGCATGAATATCATTCTGCAAGCACTGCACAGCTGCAGATTTACAATAGGGATTTGCTAAGGGAATCACAATGCACCATTTAAAAAAAAAAAAAAGTCTTTGTTCTCCTAGTGTGAATGTCAAGTCCTGGGAAACAACAAACTATTTTAAGGGTGTTTGGTCAACTACAATCATGATTCAAGTAATTCAACATGTTTGTGGGACAAGATATTTATTAAGTCCAACTGAAGATACACAGAGGACTGTGCACTAGTAGAAGAGGATTGAACTCAAGGTCAAGAAAGAGTTGAAGGAGAGACACTGTCTAACCATTGAAGACATTTAGCACGTTAATAGGAGGTTGACAGGGTTATCTGCCAGAATCATCTCATTTCCACGCCCTTCCACGCAAACATCTTCAACGCAAAGCTAAGGTAGGAAAGGAAAAGGGCATCATTATCTTTCCTCGTCTCCTGACCTTCTCAGACAAGTCCCTGCTCTCTAGAGTCCTACCCATGTTTCTTCCCAATCAAGGACCCTTGCCATCATCCTTTCATCTATAAACTCTAGCTGCCCGTGCTCAGCTTCTGTGACTCGTGATCTATGGGATTCCTGTGAAATCTCAAAGTCTTTGGCTATCTCTTTTCTTTCTCTGCTGTGTGGCCCGTGGTGTCCTCTTACTCCCTAGAACTATAGCAGCAGCAGCAGCAGCAGCCGCCGCCACAGTCCCTGAGAACCTATTAGATCAACTTGACAGGATCTATAACCCCTAATGGATATACACTCTAGGGGGCCTATGAGTGATTATCTTAATTAGCTTAATAGGGGAGGAAGATCCTAACTGTGGTAGCACCACCCCTTGAACTCTAGTTCTGGACCGGATATAAAGGACGGAGTATTATCATTCATCCTGTTTCCTGACTGTGGATACAATGTGACCAACCACTTGGGTTCCGCTGCTATGCCTTCACCATCATCAAAGGTTGCACC